ATTTGTTAATTTCTGATGGCTTAATTTTTAATATCTTCAAATCTCATGTAGACATCGCTTTAAAAAGATATTATTTGGACTATAGACAGAGTCTACGGTTCGGACAGGATAGAAGAAATACAGTAACATAAAACATAACGCAAGAATCAGTTAATCAGAATTAAGAGTTCAAAAGAATTCGGAAGGTGTGTGCGACAACCTAATGGCGAATTCGATTGGATGCACTAGTGCGCACTAGTAAGCGGCGGCGGCTTACGTTATCAACTGCGATTGGTCAATTCGCTTACTGATTACGTTTACGGCCTTACGTTTTTCTATGTGTCATGGGCTTAAGTTATTTATGAACTATATTAAAATGTAAATAAAATTATAAATAAAATACATATGGGGCATTCTCCGCGTGTCGGAGTCTCCTTCTGCCCATTTCATTTTTTGACAGAATTCAATCAACCAGGGCTTAAAGTTTTCGTTGGAGTGTCTACTTTTTATTGGCGTGTGGCGTTTTGTGAAAATTCAAAATGGCGGACTGGTGCAGCGCCGAGAATGAAAAAAGTATAAAAAATGAAGTATATATCTTTAAAAAAAATGCAGAAGTGACACTTCATTCGGATGATACTGTATACTGAGGAGTTTTTCGAGGTTGCTGGTTCCGATTCTGAAGTCGAAATTGAGAAATTCAAAATGGCGGACAGAATATGGCCGACTGAAATGCAGACATCTCACTTGTTTCTTATGAAACTCGGTATGGGGAGCTTTTGAGGTCGCTGGTTTGGAATATGATGTTAAAATTCAGAAACTGGGCCTCGGAATGCAAGAACCGGCCCGACGCTCGAAAAGCCGTAAATATATTGTCCAGGCGGCTAAGGAAATGACGGAAAAAATTTTTAATTTCGATATTTTTAAAGTGTTGTCTTGTAAAGAATTAAAAAAGTATTTTTTTTCTGTACAGCCTGCTTTCTACATAGCCTGCAGCGCTCAGCGCCCGCGGTGTTGTTTTCTTAAAAATCACATATCTATCTCATTTTTAAGTAAATCGAACTTAAAAATTCCAAAGAACTTCCTCGATATGTCAGGAATAAATGTTTCATTGGAAGTTATTTGAACTTCCCTGGATACTTTTTGCCGCAGAAGATGAAAAATCAAGTTTAAAGGCGGTCTACAATTAAAAATTCAAAATTAGTCAACGATATATAATTTTTAAAAGTTTTACTAACTTGCAGGTATCATCTGTGTACACATTAAGTGACTCGAAAACTCCCCATAGTATCGAGTTTCATAAGAAATAAGTGAGATTTCGACATTTCGGTCGGCCATGCTCGGTCCGCCATTTTGAATTTCTCAATTTCGACTTCAGAATCGGAACCAGCAACCTCGAAAAACTCCTCAGTATACAGTATCATCCGAATGAAGTGTCACTTCTGCATTTTTTTTAAAGATATATACTTCATTTTTTATACTATTTTTATTCTCGGCGCTGCACCAGTCCGACATTTTGAATTTTCACAAAACGCCACACGCCAATAAAAAGTAGACACTCCAACGAAAATTTTAAGCCCTGGTTGGTTGAATTCTGTCAAAAAATGAAATGGGCAGAATGGGACTCCGACACGCGGAGAATGCCCCATATACAAATTGAAATAAGTAGTACATATGTAGGTACACATTTAAATCAATAATAAATATATATTTGTATTTATATTTTATTTCGTGCTTCTTTCTCTCTTTTTTAGTACATTTTTTAGTACATTTATGACCCTAATGTATTAAATGTTACATTTTGCCACCAGGTGTACATTTTAAATTTTCGTCGCGGCAACACCTGCTTTCAGCGACGGAGTGCCCTTGTCGCGACGAAGGCGCACGGTGTCGTGAGACTTTGATGACGCGGCAAACCCCCGACCACGTCAAATATTCGCCTTTACCGCTGCTTCTTTCATAGTATAAGCGTGTGTATGCATAAGTCGTGTGCATGTGAGCCTATGCGAGAGCTGTCCATCATATAGTGTCTGTATGTCGTGCACGACTTATAACTAAAGAACGCGTAACAACCCCACTTACGTCAATCATCTAACTGTCGCGAAACATCAATGTATATTAGAAAATAAGTAAAATAATATATTCTTGATATTTTTAATACTTTCGGATGAATAATTATTCATCCGAATCGGAGCTTAAGCTTTATATATTTTTTAATTCTTGACTCTTAATTTATCTTTTTAATTTACCATTTGCTTTATATATTGTTTGATTGTTGCTTTATTTTTCGTTACGTGCACATACAGCTCATGAATACCTTACATATACATATATTTCAATTACGTTACAACAAGCGATTATTAGTTTGCAATAACTTTTTATTACACGAAAAAAAAACGTTAGTATTTTTAATAAAGAATTATAATAAATAATTTATTTCTTATTTTAAACAAGTTTCTGGAACTTTATATACATATTTTTATTTTAAATAAGCCTTTTTATCAAAACACAATCGATTGTCTGTCTTTGTTTACTAACGGATCGATAATCATGGGCATAGGGAAGATTCGAACCAAAAAATCATGGACATAGGGAAGATTCGAACCAAAAAATCGTGGACATTACCGACACGATCGTGTACATTGGCTACATAGTTCAATGTCCACGTTTTATGGACATAGAGGCGCTTCAATATATGCGAATCGTATTTTCTGAAATTCTCTAATGTCGTAGATTGGCAGAAGACATGTTACTAACATCTAGGACATTTGTTTACTACAAAAGAACCAGTGACATCCCTGCATTCGGAGCTTCTTCATAAGATGTCTTTAAATTAATTAACCTATAAATCGTACTGATCCCTAACAGATAAATACATGTAAATAGACAAACCTGCTTGACGTTTCTGATATCAGTGATATCGTGCAGTGATTGTTATTTTACGTTTTACAGTTTTTAATAACACTAAAGGTAAATGTTTTACTTTTTGGAAAAAAAGCTTATTTAAATTATGGTTTTTCCTAAAATTCTAATGAAAGATTCTAACTTTGCTTCTGACACCAAGAAAAACAGTCAGCCAAGATGCCTGAAACGGAGGAAGAAGTGGGTATGTCCGTTCGCTTGACGAACGATGATTTCCGAAAGCTGTTGATGACTCCAAGGGCGTCCGTACCTTCAGCCACTCCAGCCTCTGTACCAGGTACAGTAAGGGATGCAACTGCAAAAACTGCTCAAACGCCCCAAGTTAGTGGAGGCAGCCGAGCCGAGTTGCGAAGGAAGAAGAAGAGCTTTTATGCAAAATTAAAGAAGCAGGAGGAAGATAAAATGGCCGAGCTTGCAGAGAAATATAGAGATCGTGCGAGAGAGCGCAGAGATGGTACCAATCAAGATTATCAGGCAGAGGATCCCATGAACAATGCTAGTGCTTATCGAGCCGTTGCACCTGACCTGAAATCTGGCATGGATGCTGCTGAGCGCAGGAGACAAATGATTCAACAGTCTAAATTCTTGGGTGGTGACATGGAGCATACTCATTTGGTCAAAGGTTTGGATTACGCTCTTCTGCAAAAGGTATAATGTCATCAAGATTTTATTATCTCCATTTCGTTGTTTTATCAAAACAATATAAAAGCCTTAATAAAACAAATTAGATTGCAGAAAATTTCCTGCAGTGTAGATGTATCAAATAAATTTATTTATCAGTTATATAAAATAAAGTTATTAAAAATTTGAGTATATAGATAATACAATACTATACATTCCAATTTAAAATTTTATATTCATTTACATTCAATATATATTCTTAAATAATATAATACTACATATTCTATAGGTACGCAGTGAAATTGAAGCAAAAGAACACGAGCAAGAGCAGGAATTGGAGAAGTTGGTGAAGCCAAAAGAGAAGTTGAAGAAAGAGCAACTTTTGGAGAAGAAGGATGACGAGATGCAATTCAAGACTAAAATCGGTCGAAATGTATATAAAACAATCATGATCATGAAATCCAAGCAAATTGAAAGGAATGAACTGTTCACCCCAGGTCGCATGGCATATGTTATTGAGTTAGATGATGAAAATGCCGACGTCGACATACCGACAACGCTTATCAGAAGCAAGGCGGATGTACCTACGATCGACAATACACCAACTCTTACGACTAACGATATTGTAATAAATAAACTGGCGCAGATACTGTCGTACTTGCGCCAGGGAAGTCGTCACAGCAAGAAGAGCAAGAAACTGAAGGACGCACGCGGTCGTGGCGACGAGTTGAACGAACTCGACATCCAATCACGTCAACCCGTTGCCGACGAAAGTATTTATGGCGACATTGGCGATTATGTGCCGACGATGATGAGCAAAAAAGATGGACTACGCGAGAAGAAGAAGGGCTCATACTTTGATAAGCCCGAATCGAATTTGGATACCGATGACAAGGCGAACGCGCCTCAATTGCCGAGCGTTTTGCAACCAAATGCGATGGCCGCTGCAGTTGCCGCAGCAGACAGCAATGCGCCGAAAAAGGGTGCATTGCTGAACAAACTCGCGGCTGAACCAGAAGGATACGCCGAGTGTTACCCAGGCTTAGACGAGATGCAAGACGCTATCGATGATTCAGACGATGAGGTAGATTATACGAAGATGGATCTAGGTAACAAAAAGGGCCCAATAGGTCGCTGGGACTTTGATACGCCCGAGGAATACAGTGAATATATGAATAACAAGGAAGCACTGCCCAAAGCAGCCTTTCAGTATGGCGTGAAGATGGCCGATGGTAGACGCACCAGAAAGTATAATAAAGAGAAGAATGAGAAGGCAGAACTTGATCGCGAATGGCAAAAGATTCAGAACATTATGAACAAGAGAAAACCGACAACAGCAATCGAGGGCGCATCTGAATTCAAAGTACCGCGATATTAAGCGTTCTATTCGACTAACGAATCTGTATTTTCGATTTATCGTATAAATAAGGAATTTGAAACTGTTATTATATCTTAAATTGTTACATGTTAGATGTGAAGAAAAATCGCTTTATCATCAGAAGTGATTTTTTGTTTAAAATACAATAAAATCGCGAATTTTTTAATTATCTTCTTCGTAACAAATTTGTCTACACATAGTAAATTATTATTGAAATAAGTATACTATATAACAAATTTATTCTTATATAAAGCTATATGGTAATAAATTTATTCATGGTATATAACTTATCAAATGAGTTACATTAGCTAATTTAATAAAGCAGTCAACAAGAACCAGTTTAACAAAAAAAAATAACAAAAATGTATATGTTGTATCATATGTTGTAGACATTTAATCTAATTTTACATTAATCTGTACAATAATTTGTTTTACAAAATAGTTTTCTAAATACGATTAAGTCGTTAAGTATACACATATTGAGCCCAAATGTACAATAGTATATAATGTAAAAATATATAATACATATACATATATAATTTCATATGCATTTTTCATTTTCTTCCAATTATTAGAACCATAAAGTTATATATTGTTACTATTTTTATTTTAAGTAAAGAATTAATTAAAAGCAATATAAACCTCATAAACGAGTATAGATTGATTGTAAAAATGTATCTATTTATGAAGTGATCATAAGAAGTATTTATCAGAAAAAATTCATTCGGCTTATTTTTAAAAAATGCAATTCTTTTCTGTATGAATAATTTAAACAGTCCTTTAGAGAATGAGGACGTTGTTAAACGATTTGTGCAACAATAAGATTACAACGTGATGACCGATCGTTTTTGTTGAATTTTACGAATCACGGATGCGTGAATTAGATAATATTAAATGCGTATTTTACATTTACGTGATTATTGTGATAAAGATCGTGTAACCTCACTGCGGAGAATGACCCGAAACCGGTTCGCGGCAGTTCGAAATTACCAGTATAAATATAAATGAATTTATCAACGAGACTTTTTACCTCTTTGTGAACTAATGATCTCAAAACCGGCGAATCTTTCCTTTTAACTGGATCAAGCCGGTTTACGCTTACATCAGTTCGCGTCTTACATCGATTAGATTAGAAAGTCATGTTGGTATTATAAAAAAAGAAATCTCCGGTCAATTCTGATTTGATATTACATTTGACGTAAATAAATTTAAATCATTATCAGTATTTGCTTAAGAAATGACTTACGTTGCAAATATATAGTTTTGCAAATTCATTCTAGATTTGGTTCAATCTAGAAACGTGAAAGAAAACAAGATATTCATATTATTCTGATTAATCGATTCTTTTTTATTGTTAGAATACTAATATCTGTATCATTAATAAAATAAAAAGAAAATTCGGGCGTTTGCTTTTTGTTTTTTATTCTTTATAATTTGTAGATATTATTTAATAATAGGTAAATATTGTTATCAAGAATAATGTTATAAGTCCCAGCAAATACAGAATATAATCTGCAATATTGCAGCAATTTTGTAACATTTCTGCTGTAAGTATTGCTGCAATATTGTAGTTATATTATAGTCTGTGTTTGCTTGGGTGTTTGATCGTTATTCGATTTATAACAATAAATATTAGATTCTTAATATAACATGATCTTATTTTGCTAATTAAAGACTGCCGGGACTATTTGTAAATTAAACAGTCTCGTATTATAAGAAAAAATGTCGTTTAAACATAAGCTTGATCACATGATTTTGAATCGCTAGTGAGATAATGGAGAGATAATGGGACATAGAGATAATGGAAGTTCCTCGAGAGGAAAGAAAAACTAGTATATAAATTCCGATCTTGACCTCTGTTTACAGCCGATATTGATATCGTCCATGTGTACATACATGTATATATGTAACTGCTTTTACTCGAGTATTCACAGTTCTGGCAAGGAACTGATCGTTGCACAGTTTCACTCGAAGTGCAATCAGTGAGAAAAGTGAAGGCGCAACGTAGACCATATCCTGCGATACGTTCGCATTCTGCAACTGATGCTGGGCCTCAGGAATCTCATTTGGCGGCGCAAATTCGTCTTGAGTATCGTAAGTTATATAAATCCAATAAATTCTAAAGATTTCGAATTTCTAAACCTTTAATGTGTGTAACATCTTAAACTTGGCTCTCACCGCATTGTTCTAACAATGGACAATTTTATAATTCGTACATCGATACAATTTTATAAGAAACAATTATTACACGCTTTCACAAACTACATTTATAACTGGACGAATTACATTGTTTTATGGATTCTTGCTGGTGTGCCGAAATGAATACAACTTCAACTATGCGAGTGAGATTGCACACCCATTTATATATATTATTATATATATATTTTTGTTTTTGTAATTTTATAATTCTATAATTTCTAACATTTGTTAACAACTTGCAATCTTTGTAATATTGAGAATGACCTAACAGAGGTCGAAACGTCTTTATCTATTTCTTGTTTTTCTAATTAAACTACGTAATTTTAATCAAATAACAATTTTTATTTACAAACAATTGTATATTTTAACGAATTTTTTCTGGCTCATAGTCCTTTTTCTTTTTCATTATTTTTAAAATTATTGATTATTACAAACATATTCCAATAAATCCTGTTTCATCGAAATTCAAGAAAGAGGGAAAAAATTTGACTCTATAATATCTGGAGAGTATTTCGGAAGGAAGCATGCACGAGAAATACGAATTTCTCTCTTGCATTATTTCGTCAACTATTGGAATAAAACTTCTTATAATATACATGTAGAGGAAAGCCCCCTATTATGAGATAGGCGCTTAACATGAGATAGCGGCGTTTCTGCTAAACTAATAAATGCTATCTGTTGATTCTATCATGAAATTATTGCTCTTGGATTGAAAACTATTTAGTGGAAAATTCATTGTTATATCATGCCTACAGTAATTGTAAAATAAAATTTTAGAGTTTGAATGTTTTCAAGTTTCATTGAGATAAGCCTTTAATCTTTGTTTATTATTTAATAAGTAATTATTTGGCAATAAATTCTTCATGTAGTAATAGAGTAAGATCGTACTGATAGAAAAATACGAAATATGTTGAATTGTTTAATCAAAGAAGTTAGATTTGATGATCGTAAAGCTGTAAGACGTGATACTCGTAATATGAGATACCCAGGATATTTCTAATATGAAATAATCTATACTTCTGTGCCCAAGTGAAAATCGATGTTAAAGTATAAATGTTATTGTACAATAAAAAAAGAATAACCGGAATGAACATTGAGGGTCTGTTTCTGCAATACTTCATTCCAATTACTACTGAAGACAAATCCTGAATACAATGCATCACATGCTCAATTTACGTGCATAGGCTGTATACTCGTCGATATGTTAGAAACATCAAATAAAGTTTTTTTAATTCTAATACTGATGTACTTTGTGCTTTATTATCGATTTCTCGGGGTATCTCATACTAGGAGCACAATTTTTCGACTTTGCGATTTGTTCACCTTTTACATTTCTTTAATTAAAAAATAAAATAAAATTTGAATTAAATTTTACATAACACTATCTTAAAGCTTATTAAATTCTCTTCAAAATGACCTATTATTTTTTTTAATTCTACCAATAAACATTTAGTAGTTACACAAAATGAACTCGGTATCTCATAATAGGGGCCTCCTCCTCTATATATCCCGAGTAGAAATTATATCGGGAATGCCTATGATGCATAACTAATGCCGGGAAAGAATAGGAAATGTGATTATACGAAATTTTCGACCATTACCTGATTAGGAAACAGTAGGATATGCCTTAATATGAAATTTCCGACCTGTGCCTGATCGGCAATAAAGCAGAGGATGCGCTCTTTAAGATTTTTTTCGGGTAATCCTGAAAGAAACCGAATTTCTCCTTGTCCCTATATATAATTATATTTCTTTAAAAATATGATGTTATATAATAAGAGATGTAAATATTTTTGTTCATTTAATTTTAATAATTGGCTTCCGCATGATCGATCGATACTTACTATTAATATCAATTTACATTTTACAACTAATTAATATGATATTACTTACGTTTGTTATGTGCGGTAATGGTGTCGGGATGCACGATTAATGATGATATCTATTAATAGGGGCTTCGGTGATATTCTGTAAATAAGCTTCGTAAATGTATATTTACAGCCTGTATAAACTGCTACTGTGTGAACAGAGAAGCTAACCCTGAATAGGTATGTAGATTGAACATTATTTATTCGAAATTAATGTACATTAAAAATAATCAAAAAAACAACAAATAACGATATTATAATTACGGTACAAGTAAAGAAATAACAGATGACAATATTTATTAAATTACTCTATAAATTAAAAAAGAAACGTTTCGACTTTTACATAAGTCCTCTTCAGTCTCATTAATATAATATATCTACATAAATAATATAAAATATAACAATTAAAATTAAAATTACATGGTCAATCAGTCAGGTAGTAAACGAATGAATACTGTCTAAAAAATAATTAAAACTACTATTTATAGTATTTATCATTGGTCTTTACTTACATTTAGTAATGGTATTAGTATTTATTAATTTTGATGTAATTTTCAACAAAAATTTCGGGAATAAAAGTATACAGAGATTAATGAAAATCGTTGGCAAATAAAAATATTAAAAATCACAGTCGACGATGGCGCAGCTCAAGGTGGCGATCATCGGACAAAGTCCATTCGCGGCAGAAGTCTACAAACTTTTACGACAGAATGGACATCAGGTGACTGGAGTGTTTACGATTCCGGATAAGGGAAACCGCGAGGATCCTTTAGGTACAAGAGCTTTTATTGAAATTATCGTATTACGAATCTTCTCATAATTCTTATGAATGCAAGATATATGTTAGGATTATCCGTTGGTTATTTCGTTTCTTTGAGATCTTTGATTTGGAAAATGAAAAAAAAAGGCGGAGAGTTTTGGATATTCAATGGATGGTCCTGTAGATTTTATTTAGCCTCATTATCATTACCATTCGAT